CATCACCTACCCACTGATTCACTTCTATTGCCTTCTGTATCCTCTGGTCTACATACCTGGAGCCCAGAGGTTTAGGAGGCATCTCCCCCAATGCTGTCACAGAAGTGGAGATGACGAGCCAGTGGCAGTCGTCAATCTGCAAGAAATGACTGAGTGACAACCAAGTTTTTTGTTTCTGTTCTTTTCATCTTTGTTGTAATTCTTGTTTTTGGGCGATTTCTCCAGTATGCTTTTATAAAACTGCTATGCGCATGCCTTGAACTGAACATGAGGGCCTGTTGACAAATGAGAAGGGCAGAGGCATTGATTGAAGGATTAAGACAGGGATGGTACTGCCAGGCCTTCTAGACTGAACTCAGCTGCACGCCTACACACTTCACACCCTGGGTGCAGAAGCATCCGGACACACAGATAACCACATATCCTGTTGTGGTCATGACGTCTGTTGTGCACTTGCTTTACAACGAACTGCCTCCTGTTGCTTAGAAGAATGAGGCTGTCAGGGCAAGGACAGACAGGCGGATACAACCTGACACGAAACATGAACCAAGAGGTAGAAAAGGGCAGGGAAGTCCCTCAACAGGGTGCTGACTCTCAGGATTGGACGATTCGTCAAGAGATGTGGACATATCTGTGCACCAACGAAGGGAGGGCTAAGTCTAAACCACGGCTGCTCCCCACCTCAGCTCTAAACATATCAACTGTTGTCACTGTATGAATGCCGTCTGTGTAGAGGAAACATCATGCTTTTCTGGGGAAGCTGGTCACAGATCAGCAGCTTGCTGCCTGTGATTTCTGAACCAGAATAGGATCCTGGATAAAAATGAATTGCTTTGCAGAATAAACAGCGTTAAATGATGGAAGTTGTTGGTCTTCTCTCTCAGCACATCTCAACACTTCTCTACGGATCCCAATGCTGTGATCTGGTGAGAAACGCTACCGAACTTCTGAAGTGGCTGCAAATGTTATTGAGGTTTAACAGAGCGCTCCTGCTGACTTTTTACCTGCACCCTGTGATTTTATCGTCGATCATTTTAACGTTAGACTGAAGTCAAGCCTGGACTCAGTAGCTCCACTCGTAACCAAAACAATAAGAAGAAAGCCTACACCCCCTGTGGAGAAGCAACGACAGAATCAATACATTAAAAAGAACCTGCAGGAGTGCAGAGAGGAGATGCAGGAAATCAAAATCAACACTATGAGATCTTACGTCAACAACTCAAAACCTACAACGACGCAGTCAAACATGCAAGAACTTCCCATTTCTCACAACTCATCACAGACCATAAAGACAACTGGCACTCATTTTAATAAAGCTTTTAAGATGCCAACAGACGCTCTTTGTGGGAACTTTGCAGACCACTTCAGAACCAAATCAAGGACATCAGATCCAGCCTTTCATCCCAACAAGTTTCACCTGTGAACACACCTGAGCTGTTGCCCTTGCCTGAGGAAACACTGGAGAGTTTTCTCCTGGTTGATGCAAGGACAC